AAAAGAAAAACAAAAAAAAAAAACAACAAAGAGGGAGAGAGGGCCCTGTAAATACCGTTCCCTGGGGGTTTTTAATCGTGAGGAATCGCTCTCCCGCCGTGGTGTAGCTGATTTGTAGCACCCAAACATCGTTTCTTTGTATGTTTGTAATAACCCGGGTTTTCGAGGGACGCTTGGATTTGTACAAACTGACACCTGTAAAAGTGGTTTAAAATAAGAAAAAACAACAAACAAACAAACAAAAAAAAGAAACACCAAACCCCTTCATCTGCGGCTTGGAATTTCTGTTTGCTTTAAAAAAAAAAAAAAGAAAGGAAAAACAAAACAACCAAAGCACCTTTTCCCCTGCCTGCAGCTGATTTATCTGGGAAGGAGTCGGCATTTTCCCATTGTTTGCTTTGCTCCTACTTTTCTTTCTATCTTTAAATCCTCCCATCAAGCCTGTTGCTAGGAGCCCTGTTACTTGGTTACATCCAGCTTCCCAGGACCCATCCAGCTGTATCCAAGATTTATTCCCTGTTTTCTTCCCCAGAACACACAAAGACAGAGCGGGGAAACAATAGCAGGAAAAACAAAATGTGAGGATAAGGGAGTTGTTTCTTTTTGAGACATGAGGTGAGTGAACCCCCTGTGTGTCTCTAAAGTCTTTCCCTCAGCCATAAATCTGGGGGGAAAATGGGGGGGGTTTGGTGCTGGTTGTTTTTTTTAAAGCTTCCAGTTTTCCAGCAGAAATTTGGGAGGGCAAAAACCTCCCCAGAGATTTCCATCAGGAAATGCCCCCCAGGTCCTGGTGGGAGTGTAGTTGATAATTTTCATGGAATCATGGAATATCCTGGGTTGGAAGGGACCCACAAGGCTCGTTTTGTGCTTGCTTTGTGCTGTGGGTGCAGGATCCTGGGAAGGGGAGCAGCACTCCAGGCCAAGGAGCTGCCATGGCCCTGGATGTCTGTTCCCAGGGTGGGAAAAGGCAAACCCTGGTTCTGTTGGAAAAACCCCCCAGCAGCTTTTCCAGCTCAAAATGCAGTTTCTGTATGATTTTTTTTTCAAAGCCTGGAGTTGCACACGAAAAACATTCCCCTTTTCTGGGAATCATTAATTGTGACAAACGCCCAAATGGAGAGTTAAACGCAGTGAAGAAAAACAGTTTCTATGAAATCTTCCTCATCATGTTGTTCTTCCAGTCTCTGTGTTATTCCTTCAAGTTTCTTTGGCATCTCAGGCCAGAGGTTGATGGTGTACACTGAGCAGGGTTCTCATCCCAGGTTTCTTAGAATCATGGAATGATTTGGGTTGGAAGGGACCTCAAAGGCCATCCAGTTCCACCCCCTGCCCTGGGCAGGGACACCTTCCACTAGACCAGGTTGCTCATATTCCAGACTGATCTCAGCCATGTGCTAGTGATGAAATCAAAGTCAAAATTGAGAATTCCAGTTTTTGGTCGGTGGTTTTGCCCATTCCATGAGCTGAGGTTTGGCTGCCCCTCACCTGTTTCCAGCAGAAATCCCTCCTGAAGATCCAGAAGCTCCAAGAAGCTGCCCTGGGGAGCTGGAGGTGGCTGGGTTTTCAGGGCATGACAAAACCCTCTTGCAAAGCATTTCCTGAGCTCTGCCAACCAGGAGGATTAGATTTTGTTTTTTTTAAGTAATTACTTGAATAAATATTTCCTTTCCAAACTTGCAGGGCCCAGGGCAAGGATCTGAAACTTTAGTATGGAAATGAATGTAAACTCTTCTGCAGCTTGACAGAAGAGTTGAACCCACAGCAGGATTGAACCTGCAGCAGAATTAAACCAATTTAACCAGCTGGTAATTACCCACAAACACTCTCCCTTCCACTCCTCCCTAATTCCTGGGTTTTCTGGGAGTGCTGGCTCAGCACGACCTGGGGGCAACAGGCTTCAAAATTGTCTTTAAAAAAGCCAACCCTGAGGATTTTCAAATCTTATAAAGTTTTTAGTGACTTGTGTTTGGTGGCTGAGGCAGGAGAGGAGAGCACAAGGCCTGTTCCAGAGGTGAGGGAAGTGAGGAATTGGGATTTTAGGGATGAGAAGTGTTCAGTGTCGCTCCCAATCTGGTTAAAGGGGTCCAGCTGACACAGCCAGTGAGATCTACTCCTTTGTCATGGAGCTTTGCCCTCTTTCCATGAAATTGCCATGAAGAATACTCAGCTGCCCTTTGTCTTCTTCCAAGAAAACCTTCAGAGTTGGCCCAGGAGTCCAAAGGTGTCTTGGCTGTGACCCCCCTCACCTATATCCAGCTCCCAGAGCACATGGGGATAACAGCTCCCTCCTGCTGCTATTCCCAGAGCAACAGGGATCACTCACCAGTACAGACCAGTACAAACCACTGTTTCTAATGTGTTTATGCTGCCAAAGCCACATCCCTCTGCCTTCCCTGCCTTGGGAATCACTGACCCTCCACAGCTCCAAACGGGGCAGCTGTGGAGGAAATAAGAGGGAACAGCCTCAAGCTGTGCCAGGGGAAGTTTAGGTTGGATATTAGGGAGAATTTCTCCAAGGAGAGGGTTGTCCAGCCCTGGCACAGCTGCCCAGGGCAGGGGTGGAGTCCCCATCCCTGTGGGGCTTTAAAAGCCATGTAGATGTGGCACTTGGGGACATGGGACAGTGGTGGCCTTGGCAGTGCTGGGGGACAGTTGGCCTCGATGATCTTAAAGATCTTTTCCAACCTGAACTACTTCATGATTCCAGTTCCCTTCTCCACCCCACGAGTGCTCTGGGCTTCCTTCTTCCAGCCCACCAAGCCCCAGTGAGTCTGGGGCGTCTGGGCTGCCCAAAACTGCTGGCTGGTGACAAAAGGCAGGCGTTGTCCCCAGCCAACCTTGCTCTGGGGTGACACACCTTGAGCAATCGGCCTTCCCTTCCTGTTTAGCTCTCCTGGAGCACCAGGCTTGTCCAGTCAGCAGGATGATGACCAGGGCTCTGTCAAACCCCAGATAATTACCTGCTCTTGTGTGTGTTTCCCACAGGATTGCTGTTTCTGGAAACAGGGGCTTGGGTTTGTTTTCGAGGAAGTTTTGCCTCTCCCTGGCCACCCTTTTTCCATTAATATTGTAATGAGCCTGGCTGGGAATCAGCCAGCGTGGAAAACCCTCTTGCAGTTGTATTTCCTGGAGGAATGAGCTCAAAGTGGGACAAAAAGGGGAAGAGATGTCAAGTGCTCTGAGTGAGGCTGGTGGGAAAAGGACTTGAGCTGGA